GTAGAAATGTAAAGACATAGCCACAAAGGAACGAAATAATTGTTTGTAGTGCTTGATGTGGGTATTGATAGTATGTGTGTGGTGGTGTGTGTACATATATGGGGAGCGATAGTGTAGCGGTTAGCGCGCTGCGCTATGAACCTGGCGACCCGGGTTCGATTCCCGCTCACGGCCAACACCAGTGACGATTATCTGAACCGGTCCCGGGCCTCCCCTAGGTCGACTCAGCCTCAAATGAGTACCTGGTGCGGTGTGTAAACATTGCCACTAGGGAGACAAAGGCGGTCGGGTGTGGTGCTGGCCACCCACCCCCTCGTGTACCGTTCCGGCCTTCATAGGTGCTCGCTAACAGCACTTGCCCCTACAGTCTGTTAAGGCTATATGGGGGATCTTTGTACATATATAATTATTTGAACTATAGTACATGTATATGCATTTATTTCTTACCAGGCGATGGAGACTTGATGTATTTAGTCGTAGCTGTTGTATAGCATCTATGTTGTGTAGAAGGAGGTCAGTGGTGTTGGTACGTAGATGTAAATATTTTATAATAGTACGTGTTTTTTCAAATAAATATTGCAGTGTGTGTTAGAGGTGAGCCGTGCACCTACTGAGAGGACAGTTAGAAGCCTGAAGTGGGTGAATTTGGCGGCAACAACGCAGGGCTGATAATAGGGAAGGATAACATGGTAATACGAGAACAAATATAGCAGTTCAGTGGCGACACTTATGTTATGGTGAATGCGTGGAATTGTAATATATGAAATGTCATGTGTTTGCATGTGGCAAACCGGAAGTAGTTAAAATGCCCCGGGCTTTAACACATGGCAAGGTACAGGTGTTGAAGGTGAGCAGGTAACCCTAAACATAGTGCAACAAGCACGCTAACTCACCCGTGAGTACGCATGGAAAGTCTGGGGTGTGTCGGCGCATTTTGGTTCACAATAGATTTATACTATTTTTTGACTTGGAATATTTTTTGTATACGGTTTCTCCGTGTTTATTTCAATTGTTTAGTTTATTTGGAATACAGTACAGTACTTTCAATTGTGATGTTGTAAATTTAAGTTGACGTTTATCTAACGCCATTACTTAGGTAAGGCTTAAGTATTGAATATCGCGCTTTTAGCTTTCGCGCGGCAATTTCCAAGAAAGTAACCTCCGCGATATGCAAGGGGCTGCTGTTTTTTTCAGTCTATTGACTACAGCAGAGGTGCACAGATTTTCAACAGAAACTAGATCTCTGCATTCTTTATTTAATTCAGGCCTGTAGTACCATAAAGAGGTTTGAGGCTTTGGGTTGTTATTTGTTTTCAAATCTATGCCTCTGATTACATTATTGGAGGATTTGTATGTTTTTGGGCAGGATGGTCTAAAGCTGCGTGACCAGGAGTCGGAGCCATGTCCTGTTCAACTTGGCCTGTGACAGAAATTCACTCTGGCCCCATGCATTACATTACATAGCATCTTCAATAACTATGTAGTATGAGAAGCTCCCAATGGTCATGTAAAAACCATTGCATTTGTTACAGTTACAATGATACGCTAATCGATGCCTGGTTATAGTTAAAGGATCGTTCCCTGCTGGTCAACCATGTTACATCTGCTGATGATTTGGTAATGGCTACTCAGTGAGATGGAATTATGGAATCTTGTTCTGTGCCTTGATAATTCCATCATGAAATGGGGCCTTGCAAATGTTCCAAAAAAAATCACCTGCCTGGGAATTTCATGTCATACAACACTGCAGCTGCTCAACTCTCCATGAATAATCAGGTAGTTCTACAAGTGTTGGAGGAGCTCCCATACCTGGTTAATGTGTTCACGACCAGCTCTGGTTTGGCACCCAAAGTCTCATTTAAAATTAGTCGAGCAGCATTCTTTAATTAGACTGTGTAACACAGTGGTGGAAGTTGCCTGGACTTTTGCTCCATATAAAGCTTTGAGTGTCCATCGCCAAGGTCTAGTTTGTCCGAGATCATCCCTCTCCCTGCCATACTGTCATCGCACCCGCCCCTCACCCTTCATCCTGCGGATGTTCGACGCACAGGATGGCACCACTTAGCCTTTCGAGCTGGCCCTACAGAGTTATGTGGGTCACGCGGCCACGAGGCAGTTGTTGGTCGAACACAACCCCTGGGCCTGGCTCTAGGGGTGCTATCAATATAGACTATATGTAAGGATACACCCCAATAGACTCCCCCTGGAACTCTACCAGACGCGTCCCACTGGGCGAGGACCCTGTGGCTGGCCCAGGACACGCTGGCGCTACTCTGTCGCTCGGCTGGCCTAGGAACGCTGAGGAATTCCCCAGGATGAGCTAGAGTCTGTCGCCAGGGAAAGGGAGGCCTGGACCGCCCTACTCAGCATGCTGCCACCGCGACCCTCACCAGGACAAGCATCTTTAGAAACTAACGAACAAAGTTGTGATTTTTTATTTAAAGCTTTCGTGACTGCAGGGATTCATATTCTTATTTTATTGTTTCCCTTCTACGTGACTTTACCGAAAGAACCAAGAATATAAAGTATTGATTCTTCTTGGCCACAGATATTACTCTGTGGATGTAAAATATGAACTTATTTAAATGACCATCTGTGCTGGTTTATACAATGAAGGCTGGTCTGCTTATGATTCATCCTCTATTCAACCAGACTATATTGTAATTATAAGCTTAGAGATCCTTAAGATATCAATATAGAATATAATCTTGAGTCTCTTTGGTAGGCGAGGCTGCATTGGTTCGGTCATGAATCCCGCATTCCCAGACACTGCATGCTCAAGCAGCTTTTATTTGTCCAGATATTAGGGGCTGAACAGGCATGGCATTGGCTAGAGAAGAGATTGGAGGATGTGGAGGTGATCGGGCCTGCCGATGATTGGTGCCAGGCATGAAGATCGGCCTCTCTGGAAGAGGCCCGTGAGATATGCTGCAGGGCCAGTTAAGAGAGATTTGCTCTGCAACAACGATGAGGTCGGAGGAGTGACACATGAATGGGTGGAACACTGTGTTTCTAAAACCCAGCAAGACAGTGGGGAGCACAGCTGGTTCACCTGTCAGTCATCCCTTGACACCTGGATCATTCCCATTACCTGCTGACAAAGAATCCGCACTTACGTGGCCTTAAAATTCACCTATCATAGCATTAGCACTGTGATAAGGTTACTTCCAATTTGTGATGAATGGGGTCTGTTAATATAATCTGTTCCTGATCCATGTGAAATGCATTTGTATGTAAGAGTGTATCTATGTGGGGAGCGGTGGCGCAGTTATTTCACTGAATTATGAACTCAATAATTAGAGTTTGTTTATCGCCGACAGCAAACATGTTTGATAAATGAAAGCTGAACTTATTATGGGCCTCTGCTATGTTGATTGACCTTAAATAAATTACAAAGTGAAGTCAGGAAGCATTAATACTGAGCAGATGAAGGCGGCCAGGCATGTTTCTGGACACACCACCACCGTTTTACCATGCCAGTGTGTGACAGTGTCGAGTTTGTATTTGCAGTAAAGTATATTAACTATTGAACATGGAGGTTAAATAAAAAAAAAGTTTATTTTACTTTTCCTCTGGAACTTTTTGTAAGAATGGAAACAGTCGGCAAATTAACACGGCATATATATATCTTGCTGACGTTAGATCTGTTCTTCCGAGGATTCAAGAAAATCTGAGCCTGGCTTTCCACCTAAGTTGCAACTGAATATTCATTTATGCATAATACAAATAGTATTGTCAACAGCCTTTGCTATGTTAACTGAGTTTAGCTTTTATACATTTTCCTTTTATAGCCAGGCAGTCGAAATTGTGTACTTGGTGTTTTGGATTCACATTTATTTTGAAGATACTAGGGCTTCTAGGCATATTTATAACCATTTGCCCTCTCATTGTATGCCTTAACAGCCTGTGTGATGAAATGGGGAATATCTTGAATATATGAATAAGTATAGACGTGTAAGTCATGTGTGACTGTGTATATATGCATTCTTCTGTGACTTGATACTGATGTAGATGATGTTGATATGTTTTTTCTGTCTGCAGCTGACGCTTCCTCTGCCACTTTGCTCTGCAGAATTAATCTGATGCAGCAACGGCACTCAACCCAGCTCAGTACAAAAAGTCAACAAAGCGACCAGTATGCAAATTTGACTGGAAATTTGACACAGCACCATAATAAAAAAGTATTATTTTCACAGCCTTTGCTATGTTAGCTGAATTTTTCTTAAATAAATATTCCTTTTGTCGCTAGATAGCCGAAATTGTGTGCTTTGAGTTTTGGGTAAACATTAATTTTGAAGATACTTGGGCATCCAGGCATTTATGACCATTTGCCCTCTCATTGTGTGCCTTAACAGCCCGTTTGATGAATTGGGGAATCTTTTCAACTTCATCATGAATATATGAAGAAGTATAGATGTGTATGTCACGTGTGACTGTGTATATATTCATCTTCTTTGGTTCTTTCGGTAAAGTCACGTAGAATGAGAATAAAATAATAAATTGATAAAATAAAATAACACAATAATATTCTCACGACGTTTCGGCCACAACACAAGCGGCCTTCATCAGGTGAAGGGAGCGAGACTGTCTGGTAGGACAGCGCTGGAGTGCGCTGTCCTACCAGACAGTCTCGCTCCCTTCACCTGATGAAGGCCGCTTGTGTTGTGGCCGAAACGTCGTGAGAATATTATTGTGTTATTTTATTTTATCAATTTATTATTTTATTCTCATTCTACGTGACTTTACCGAAAGAACCAAAGAAGATGAATCATTGCAGTCACGAAAGCTTTAAATCGAAATGTGTATATATTCATTCCTCTGTCTTGATACTGATGTAGATGGTGTGTATATTGTTTTCTGTCTGGAGCTGATGCTTCTTCTGACGCTTCCTCTGCAGAATTGGTGTGATGGAGCAAAGTCACTCAGCGCAGCTCGTTACAAAAAGACAACAATGGGACCAGTATGCAAATAGCACGGATCTTACTGGAAATTTTACACAGCACCAGAGAACTCAAACAGGAGAGAAACCCTTCAAGTGCACTGTGTGTGAGAAGGCATTTGCACGGTCATCAAAACTTAAAAAACACCAGAGAACACACACGGGAGAGAAACCCTTCAAGTGCACTGTGTGTGGGAAGGCATTTTCAGATTCATCACATCTTAAAAAACACCAGAGAACACACACAGGAGAGAAACCCTTCAGGTGCACTCTGTGCGGGAAGGCTTTTGCACAGTCACCACATCTTAAAAAACACCAGAGAACACACACAGGAGAGAATCCTTACAAGTGCACTGTGTGCGGGTACGCGTTTTCACAGTCATCTACTCTTGTAATACACCAGAGAACACACACAGGAGAGAAACCCTTCAAGTGTAGTGTGTGTGGGAAGGCGTTTGTATGGTCATCACTGCTTCAAAGACACCAGAGAACACACACAGGAGAGAAACCCTTCAAGTGCACTCTGTGCGGGTACTCGTTTTCACAGTCATCTGCTCTTGTAATACACCAGAGAACACACACGGGAGAGAAACCCTTCAAGTGCAGTGTGTGTGGGAAGGCATTTTCAGGTTCATCTGCTCTTAAAAAGCACCAGATAACACACACAGGAGCTAAACCATTCAAGTGCACTCTGTGCGGGAAGGCGTTTGTATCGTCATCACATCTTCAAAGACACCAGAGAACACACAGGCATCAGAAGATCCCCAAGGAGCTGAGTCTGAAATCGGCTTGTGAAAGTCAAAGTGCTGCAATGCGCCCATCCTTCATAAAAAAAGAACCAAAAGAAAATCCCTGCTTGGACACTTTAAAAGGTATCAAGCTCAAATATGAAGAGGTGAAGGTGAAATATGAAGTGACAGTGAAGAGCGAAGAAGTGAAGGTGAAATGTGAAGATGAAGATTCATATCCAAAATCAGACCTTCACATTGATGGATGCAACGTGAAGCAGGAGGATAATTCTTACTGTCAGGCAGAGCGAGGCAACTGCCAGCAGTTTGTAGAAGTGGAGGTGTGGCTGGACTTCTTAGACAATACAAAGTCAAAAGAGACCGGGTAGATGTGTAGTGTAGCAGCGCTGAGTGGTGACCAGGTGTAGCAATTGCAGGTGTACACACCCAAGGGGGATCCATCTTGTGGCTCCCAGAACCCGCTAGATGGTTCCAGAAGGGGGTGTGGCCAGGGCAGATCCTGGAAGGATAAAATGGGGCGAGAGAGGGAGCTCAAGGCTGTCCGTGGGAGTCGGGGTCGTCTCATAACGCTGCTGTCCTCGTCATCGCTGCCGTCTTTGTCATCGCTGGACGTTGCCACTGCTAGATAGTTATCCAGCTAACTAGTCCGTCAGTGCTGTGGTTGCTAGGCGGTCAGTGTTGTGCTATGTGCTAGCGAGTGAAACAGTGTGAGTTATGAGAAATAAATAAGTTGCCTCTACAGTTTATTGTCTCCGGAGTCGTACAATACAGATGCGGAAGCTTGAGACAACGAAGCTCCAATAGATTCCCCTTTGTCGCAGGTCTTTAATTAAAATAAAGTGAAGTTGAACATTCAATTCCTAGGATCAACCTGCAGAGTAAGAGCGGCCTGTGGGTTGGGTAGATGTCTAACCAGGAGCGAGAGCCAATAAACTCCTAAGCATTCTCTACGTTATGATAATAATATTTGCATTCATGTGGTGCTTTATTGCCCATAAGATGTTTTTTTTTGTTAGATCTTGTAAATATAAATGTTTCGTGGAACCCGCCACTACGCGATTTGTTCTCCAACACACTGGTGTGCTGTACTAGTGTAGTGTAATAATGCCGACTGTTGTCCAGCAACGGCAACTGTGGTGGACAAATAGTACACACACCAGTGAGCATATACACGGGTGTGTCGGCAGGGCGGAGGAACTGGGGCAAGGGTCACGGAAGACCCCATCTGGAAGCCCCTGAAACTTGCTAGTGGGTTCGAGAAGGGAGGCGCGAGCGGAGCCAGGCGGCGCTGGGTAGCATAAAAGCATAATTAGACCTCCTTTTCCAGTACCAAAATGTAATAATAGGGTTTTTCCCATTTTTTCTGGTGCTCGACCAGATGACGCCAAAAGGCGTCATCTGGTCGAGCACCAATTGGGTCGAGGCTCAAAAGAAAGCCGTCCCTTGGTGTGGACCAATCAGTTTGAAGGACAATGCATATATTATCATAGTATGTTTTTTGTTTGCATTTTGACTGCAGGTATTGTGGTTAATGCAGACATGAATCCTTGTAAAAAGGTTTCAGTTTTGTTTCCAGAAAAAAAGGGGAAAAACCCTATTATATTATAGCATAAAAGCAGTTGAGAGTGGGAGCTCAGGGCTGCTGGTTCTGGGAGTGGGCTCGTCTCGTCGTCGCTGTCATCTTTGCTGCCTTCGTCGCTGCAGTCTTCGCTAGATATTGCGCGGCTGGATAGTTGTTGGCTGTCTCAGCGTCACCGGTGTTACATGGTCAGGGTTGTGTTTACGCGAGGATAGACGACTGGGGAGAGTGCGATGGCGAACCTGTGAACCTGTGAAGGTGTTCATAAAAAAGGTGCCCCCTTAGAAACCGTGTTTCCCACTACGATGACACTACAACTGGTGACAGGAGTGGGATGAAGAAAACCCACTTATAGTGTCGTCGGAGGATGGGAACGGCAAAACGTTCATCCCTCCAGCAGCCCCGGGACCCTGGTTATGAAGCCTGTTGGCGGAGAGAGAGCGGCTGCGGATCAGCAGGAGAGCGGCGGCGCGTCGGCGGGAGAGCAGCCGCGGATCAGAGGGAGAGCAGCGGCCAATCAGCGGGGGAGGAGCCCGATCCTCCGCAGTCATGCGCCCAGCACGCAGCATGTCCGAGGACCGCCGTGTTGAGGGGAGGCGCCCCACGGCCAGCGGCGCGGAAAGGAGTCACGAGGGGACCTTGGCGGTAGTCCCTGTCGGTATGGGAGAGCGGAGGAGCCCGGGCAGGAGACCACGCATGTGGTGGGAGCCATTTTGCCTGTGGAGAGCTTAGCATGGCCGGTGGGCGCTATTTTGTGTAGAGCGCGGGACAGCATTAGAGGGGCGCCGGAGTCGATGGTGTTGCAAGGGGAAATGTTTGGGCTACCGCGCGATACCCACACGAGATTTCTCCAGTGGAAGCGAGGGGAGGCCGAGACGCCCTTCGCTTTCCGGGAGGCGGTGCTGGGGCGGAAGGCGTACCCCCAGATGGGTGAAGCGGCGCTCGACACCTTGGCGGCGGAAAGGCTGTTGTTGTGGGAGTCGGGGATCATCCTGCCCTTCACCGAAGGCATGGGGATAATGTCCTTGAAGGTGGCCCAGGAAATTCAGGACCACGAGGCCCGCCAGCATTGGCGCAAAGTGGAGGCTTGGCCGTGACGGGAGGAGGACATAGTGGCTGTGGTGTGTGGCCTGGGGACGCATGGGGTGGGTTGGCAACTGGGGCAACCCCCTCTGCCCTGGGGTCCCACGGCTGAGTGTTTCAGGTGTGGTCAGCTGGGCCACATCACCATAGAATGCCGTGGTGTCAGCAAGGCGCTGGCAGCGCCACCGACGCACTCCAATCCGCCGGCAACATCTTCCCAAGCTCCACCGATTCTCATGATTCCTGAGACCGCAGTGGGCTAAGTGTCAAGAGCTCTATCCGATTAGATGCTACTGCGTGCCCTTTAGCCCATTTGTTTTTTTGTTCCCGTTCCTCGAAACCCCAAGGAATGCCAGACGCTGCCAAGGCGGGGTTGACCAGTGTCAAGGACCAGCTCATGTGAGCTACATTCTGGTAAAGGCTGACTCTCCCTTGTGAGGTGGGATTTGGGGGGGGTTGTGTATGTTGTTTGGGTTGCGTTATCGGTTCGCGGGGGGGGGGGGGGGGGGGCGTCGCGGTTGTGCGGTCCCTGACGGGGTTCTTGCCCATGTCGCAGTTGCGCTGCGTGTTGTCAGTTTGCTGGGGGCACCGCGGGTTGTCCTATGTGTTGGCGGTTCGTGGTGGGTGGGCTTCGCGGTTTTTTTTTGTTGGCGGTCCGCGGGGGGCCCCAGTGTTGCGCTATGTGGTGATGGTTCGCGGGAGACGCTGCAGTTGTACTGTATGGTCGTGGGAAGTGTTTCAACCAAGGTTTTATTTTGTGGTAAAAAATTTTTGTGTTGGTGGTGTTCCTCAGGGTTGAGGGTTGCTCTGCTTGTCCACCAGTTGCAGCTGCTGGATGCTGACACGCCGGTGAGCATATACACGGGTGTGTCAGCAGGGCGGAGGAACTGGGGCAAGGGTCACAGAAGACCGTATCTGGAAGCCCCTGCAACCTGCCAGTGGGTTCGAGAAGGGAGGCGCGACCAGGGTGGAGCCAGGCCGTGCTGGGCAGCATTACAGCAGCTGAGAGTGGGAGCTCAGGGCTGCCGGTTCTGGGAGTGGGCTCGTCTTGTCGTCGCTGTCATCTTCGCCACCTTCGTCGCTGCCGTCTTCGCTAGATATGGCGCGGCCGGGTAGTTGTTGGCTGTCTCGGTCAGCGCCATCGGTGTTACACGGTCAGGGTTGTGTTTAGGCTAGGGTAGACGACTCGAGAGTACAAGGGCGAACCTGTGAAGGTGTTGATAAAGGTGGCCCTTGAGAAACCTCGTCTCCCACTCCGATGACACGACACTAGTAACAAATTGGCATGATCTGTTTACGTGACAAACCTCACTAATTGGCTGGTTTAATGACACGTATATTTACGCGAATTAACCCAAAAAAAATATTATGGAGGATATTGGTCGTGAAAGCCTACGCGTTAAACTTGCTTAATTGGCTCAGCAATTCGGAGTTTTGTATCATATCTCAATCACAAACACTCGAAGAGCACCCCGAAGTGGCAACTGCCCCTGTGTGGCATGAGGTGGCCCTGCACTAGCCTGCATGTGGGCATGAGTCTGTCAGCAGGGGGCGATAATTGATGTGTAACATCCGTTATGTAACTTCTGGACATTTGGAATTACCCAAATTTTGACAATGACATCAACATGCAATGACCTATGTGTTTTGAATGACACAATAGTATGTTTTACATCCACGGTTAAGCAGACGGTGCATATTTTGTTTAATGTTACTGGAGTAGCCAGGGGTGCCTGTCGGATTTGTACCTTGAACCTCTGCAATAAAGAGAATGCGCGACCACTTGGCTTCCCGCAATCCGTGTAGGCATGCCAGCCTGAATGTTTCTAACCAGCGCAGATGTTCCATTTAGAGGGGTCCACGTTTCACATGCCTAGAGAAGGGAGGGCATGACTGGCCTAGAAGAACCGAAGCTTCGTGCGGAGCGACAGACCAGGTAGCTTCCACACAGCATTGCGCAGGTGATGTTAAGATGATGCCGCCCGACTGATTCGGACCGCTCACACAGTGTACACACGCAGTGTAGAACTATTGTGTACACACAATGTGCATACAGAGTGTATACAAACAGTAACAAGAACAACAAATGCCATTCGCCACTAAGTGGCGGTGACGTTACCACGGCGCTTGTGCCAGGCTACGTGCACGTTAAGGCCACGTAAGGTGTCGAACGCCCGCCGGCAGGAGGTCACGGGGCAGACCCAGGTGCCAGGGGTCGACTGAGATGACTGGCCGATGCACCACCTGTGCCCCCGACTGTGCCAAGACAGTGTACATAGACACACAGTGTGTACACACACACAATGTTCACATTGTTGTTGAGCTCACGCACCCAAGGGATCTCTGTTCAAGAGAAGGAGCAATG